CTTCGCCTCCGAAACTCTCCAGGTTGGCTGGCTCCTCTGCTTCCAGGCATCCTGGAGGGGGACAGATAACAGTGGGTTGGGCTCTCTGTGACCTCTGTTGCACTGGGCTGCAACCTCCACCCTCCCTTTTGCTCTGGGGTTCCCCAAACTCCCAAGGCAGCAGTACTCCCACTGAAGAGGCCTCTGGCTCAGCACTGCCCGAGCTCAGGCTGGGTCATTTGGATAAACCCCTTCCCCATTCCTTCTACACACTGGGGACACCCCAAGTTCCCCAAATCCATTTACCTTCCCAGGTCTCCCGCCAGCCACTGGACTCCCAGGGCTCCTCCCTCCTCATGGAGCAGCCCAGCCCCCCAGCTCTCTGTGCCACCCTTTCCTCTCGGTCCCCATGCAGTCCCCAGCCCTCTCCCCCAGCTGCTGGACTCTGCTCTCTCCCTCCGTTCTTCCCTCTAGGCCCTGCGCTGTCTGGCCTGTCCCTGTGGGCTCACAGCTCTTCCCTGGCCCGGAGCACACAAAGCAGGTTCAAGAAGTCAAGAGACCTGCATTTTTGGCTTTGTAAGGATGGAGAGCTATACCCTCCCCGCTTTTCTGGGCTGGTGATGGAACCCAGCGCCTCAGCCATGCCAGGCAAGCGCTCCACCGCTGAGCTACACCCAGCGTGTGGCCACTTTTCACGAAGCACCTCCTAGGTGGGAGGTCCTGGGCACAGGGCAACGAGCACATCCACTAAGCCAACAGGAGGCAGGGACCAGGCCGGTGACAGCTGCCCTGAGAGAAAAGTGCGCAGGTCTGTGAGTGGGTGGACAGAGGGAGAGCCACTGGCCCAGAAAGCTCAGGACTTCCCCTTTGCCCGAGATGTGAAAGCTGAAGAAGGTTCAGGGAGTCTGCCTGGAAAATAGCTTGGGCACAGGCGCAGGTGGCACCTGTGCTGCAGGGGGCCTGGGGGACTGGAGAGAAAGGAGGGGTGGGCAGAGCCCTGCAGGCCTCTATCATAGGGCTGCGGTTGGCAGGAGAGCTTGAAAAAATCCCGAGGAAGAAGCCCAGCCCAGAAGCTCAAGGGAGGATAAAGGGGCAGGCGCACACATCTAGGAAGCCAAAGTCACAGCTCCAGGAGACAGCAAAGGTCCTGGTCACACGCTATCCCTGCCCGGCCCCATGGGAAGTCCCCCCGTGGGCTGACCCGGGGTTCACCTGATGCATTCTATATATAGCGCTCTCACCAGATGGCAGCTGCAGGGAGGTCAGGGCTCCCTCAGAGGCGGTCTCCTCTCCCAGCTCTAATCCCCTGTATCAAAGGGATGAGGCTTAGGGCCCCCTGCAGGAACCCCACCATCCTGACCTGGCCCTGTAGGGGGCGGAGGCTGGGCGGGCAGAGGGGCCAGGTCAGGTGAGCACTGCCCTGTGGGGAGGAAGGTGAGGCCAGATGGCGAGTGCCTGGGGCCAGATGGGAAAGCAGGAGGGGCGGGCACTGGGTTAGGGAGGAGCTGGGGAGGGCCACGAGCCTCCCAGCTTTCCCCTTCTCGGGGCCTCTTTATTTCTAACTTGCAGACCCCATGTGCCTCCTCACCCGAGGCATTCTGTCCTCGAACCCCACCCCAACCCCCGCTCCCGCCCTACCTCCTCTCTTTTCTGTCCTCCTCAGCCAGTGCCTGGCGTGAGTGTGGAGAGGTTTTGTTTTTTTTTTTTTTGTTTTTGCTTTTCTTCCGGTACTGGGAATCAAACTCATGACCCTGCGCTTGCCAGGCAGGCGCTATGCCGCTGAGCTAAATCCCCAGCCCCTGAAATTTTTTTTTTCTTTTTTCCAATACCGGGAATCGAACTCACGACCTTGCGCTTGCCGGGCAGGCACTGTGCCGCTGAGCTAAATCCCAGTGCTGTGGTTTTGAGAAGCACTTCCTGGGAGGAGTTGGAAGTACAGGGCCTCACCCATGCAGCTGACAGGCAGCAATCCAGTCCCGCATGACCACCAGGAAGGTGTCCAAGTCTACAGTGGCCCCAGGGCCTTCCCTGTTAGGGTCCAGGCTTCGGGCCAATGTCTGGAGGCGTGCGTCCTGGGAGCCCTGGCCGGTCACAGCCTCCAGGTAGGCCAGCACGCGCGTCACAGCTACAGTGCCTGGGACAGAGCACACCGTGAAGGCGGGTGGCATGGAGGGACAGGGTATACCGTGGGTGCAGTGTATCACTGGCTAGGTGGGTGGCATCCCTGCCCCACAGTCCGGGGGGCATATTAGGCAAGTCTCTTTTTCTCTTCTAAGTCAACTTTTCTACCCAGAAATGGGGCCCAGTCACCCCATCTCACCAAGTGGACCAAGGAGGGGAGAGCTGAGGGACAGCACCTTCATTCCCCACCAGGGCCCCAAAGCCCTGCCCTCTTCTGTCATGTCCCTAGGTTTGCCTGCCCCCTTATTCTCTTCTTTCCTGAATGAAGCTTCCCACAGTCACCCGCTTTGCTCCTGCAGGAGCCCAGGAAGGAGCCCTGCCCTGTTCCATCCATCCCATCCCGATCCTGCTCCGCTGGGCCCAGCCGATCCCGCCCACCTGTGCTCTGAGGGTCACAAGCTTCAAATGTGGAGTTCAGTATCTGCTCCTCCAAGCTGAGCAATGGCCCCAGGCTCCCGTCCTCTGACTGTTCCCAGAGATGAACTGAGGAGACAAGAGGGTGCAGCCCCCAGTCAGAGAGCAGAGAGGAAGAGGGCAACACCGGCCTTGGCGCTTAGGCTCCCAGGCGAGGGGATTGGGAGCTGCCCGGGGCAGGGGCCGGGGGGAACAGTGGAGGCTTCGGGTGGCGGGGTGACGTGAAGGTCTGTGAGCTCCCACATGTGTATCCCACCTTTCAGCCCAGGAAGTCCCCTGCTCTGCCTGCTGTGTCCAATGGGCTTGGGAATGTACAACAAACTCTGAAATCACCTGGGCCTCCTGGCTTCTCCAGCCTCGCCAGTCAGGCTCAAAGGGGGCTAGGCGTGGGGGAGGGCAAAGAAGGGAGGATTCTGGGAGGAGACAAGGGCAAGCCCCCGCACCCCCAGCCAGGAACAATCCAATAAAGCGCGGGTAGTGCAGGCAGTTCGCATCGATCCCACCCGCTGCATCTCCGGTCTTCCAGCCCACCCCAGGGACCAGGGCTCTCTCCTCCCCACGTCCCCAGGCAAGGCAGGCGTCACCAGAGCCGAGTCCTGGGCCAGAGCCCCAAGATGCAAAGGGATGGGTGTTCCCAGCAGGGTGGGCAATGGGGGGTGATCAGGAGCTGGATCTGGGTGCCAGGTACACCTGCCTCTGAGCTGCCTGTGTGTCTGTGGTAAGGTCACTTCTCCTTTTGGAGCCTCAAATACCATTAGGGGTGTGTGTGTGTGAGCGATCCCCAATTATGAGGCCTGGGAGGGTTAGGGGTGTGTGTGTGTGTGTGTGTGTGTGTGTATGTGTGTGTGTGTCTGTCCTGAGGGCCTGCTTGTTAGGTGTGTGTGTGTGTGTCTATCCCGAGGGCCTGCTTGTTGTGTGTGTGTAT